GAGATAACCCGACCACCCAGTAGTATAGCGTTTAGGGTTTAGGGTCTAGGGTCTATACCCTTAACTTACTGGGGGTTAGGGAATAACGGAATATGCAAAAATCCTTGTATAATCCAAACATACGATATTCCTTTTTTATTCCTGCACCTCAAAATTCAAACCCTCAACCTAGTACGGGATCGGATAACTTTTCAGCTTGGCTTGGAGCTTGGCAGTTGCTGCGGAATTGCTATCCCTCCTGGGTGTTCGTATGCATTAAATGTAAATCCCAACCCCATGTAAGAAAAACAGTTCCCACCCGTATATACAGTAGTACTATGTTGGGGAGGTTCATTTACACGGGGGGCGGCGGGGTTACTATGAGGGTGAGGTGATGGAAGTGATCCAGGCGTGCTGACCCTGACGTCTTGTTATTGCAGGCATGTTTAGCGAAAACATCTGAGAATCTGGAAATCTACCACTCTTGCAGTCACTGGGATACTGCAACATGTCTTTATAATCCCTTCTCCCTAGCAACGAGAGGCCCATTCCGATTCATGGCCTATCTGATTTTTCAAATACCAAATTGCCATCTTGAACGTAACCCTCGACCTGCCAGGCAGTAAACCTCATGCTGTGCTTCTCTGAGGCGGAAGCTCTGGAAATCAAAAACGATCTCAGCTTGTTGAAGTTGAAGCTTCGGTGGGCATCGGGCTCCATGGGAGCGGCATGGACCAGTAGCCTTTCGCAATAAGAATAGTAAGACTAGGACCATCATTCTCAAAGGGGTGGAAGGGATCATTTGGGAGTTCTTATGAAAGTAGCTCGGGGGCTTGTCACTCATGTATGACTGCTTACAATACAAAATGCCAAAATTCCAAGCATCGCCGGAATTTCCGGAATTCGGAGTTTATCAAAGAAAGGTACCATCTTCGGGGCCCCTATAAAAAGAATGTACCATCTTGGGGTATATACCGGGGTCCCGGTATTTATGGAAACGACGACTTGCAGCAACTGAGCCAAGCACAGCTGTGGAAATCGCTCGGCTGTCCAGGAGTCCGGCGTACGGCTGCCCAAGTGAAGCACAATGATCGGTGCTTCCGAGAACATGTGCACCGAGCCTGAGTTGCAAAAGGCTGTTGGGAGGTTCGACCAATGAGCGTGTCTAAACTCTTTTGTCTCTAGCTTTGATCACTCCATGCTGGAGTGAGATCTCCGGCTCATCCTCTGCAACCGCCCCTCACAAAGCCTGGTAAACAGGTCAAAGCACCCCTCAACTCATTGGTATCGGGCTCAGCCGTGACTCCTGCAGGATATTCCGAAGTGTTTGAGGCATGACGTCATAACCCCAAAAACCCTCCACAAATGAACGAGCTAGCCAAAACAACTGCAGCAGGATGCTGGCAAGGCTTCACGGATGCAAGTACCCGTAGCCATCCAGCCAACCTGCGACTGAGCGCCGCACGTATCAGCTGCTCCGTCATGTTCGCGTGCTTGCCTTGTACAAGAGAGCAGGGACCGTATACAACCCCTGGCTTCCATGAACATCCCTAAGCAGGAAACAAACCTGGCTCCCAAAAAATGGCTCCTCTTGAACCCTTCAAGACATCATAATCCACAGTGAGAGAACATGCATCTTGATTCAAGGCTGCTCCCTGGTGCACCGGCATAATAGTTCACGAAGGCCCTGGGTAGCCACCCATCCTGGCCGAGGGGGCATGTTAGGGGGCTGGTATGCAGCACATGGGCTGTGTACATTGCCAAGAAATGGGAGGTCCCCTATACACCGACATACACTACTACTAGTTCAGGCGACAACAGAGGGACCCCAATCTTTTAAGCCGCCATGTAAGTGTAACTTTCAAGGGTTGCCAACCTTTTTAAACTTGGTCATAGCTTGGATGTTTTCTACTTTGTACAGTGCAGATTCTTTAGCCGCCTTGTAATCCATTCCCCCTAACATCACACACAGACAATTCCCTAAGAAATGAAGCTTGTCTCCCCCAATGTACATCGGGTCAGGTCGGGAATGTTTTAAGATCTTTGGCAAGGAATTATTTAGCCTGAATGTCTCAGTTGCGCAAAATGGGGGTTCCTTAGGGACCCCCAAGGATAGATAGGGATAGTATCAAGGATTATGGGGGTGCCTACTAGGGATATTGCATCCATATGAGCCATAGTCTAAACTCCTAGTATCCACGTTAGTAACCCCTATAGTCATCCCCTATATGGTCCCCTTTGTAATCCCCTTTGAGGCGTCTAGAGTCTAGACCCTACACCCTAAACCCGGTATGACCCCCTCTAAGGAGCTACACCCTAAACCCCAAACCTTAAATGGCCCAAACCCTAAACCCTACAGCCTATACAACCCCTCTTTAAGCAGTTTAAGCCCCAAACCGCAAACCCTGCATAACCCCCTTTAAGGAGTTTAGACTATAGATCAGATGACCGCTGTTACCCAGTGGAAAACGCAAGGCCAAAGCTGCCTAGCACCCTTGACTTACTGGGAGTTAGTAGGAACTAAGGGAATATGTTATATAGGGTTTAGGGTTAGTAGGGAATGAGGGAATATGTCAACATACTGCATGGGGATTTAATTCCCTCATTCCCTAGAAACAACGAGTAATATGATTCTAAGCAGCATCAGATAAAGGTGCATGGGCCGTGCATAAGTCATGTCACTTTTCAAGACATGTGGAGGCTCTATAACGTTGCATACGGATGTATAGGTATATAGGGCTAGGGGCAATACAGGGTGTCGGGTTTGAAAACCTGGGGGGCCCCTTCTGCGGAGTACCCAGAATAAAGCTGATAATACTTGGGAGTAGATGAGGGGGACGCCCTGTAAAACTGTAAGATTAAGTGGCAATGATGCCCGGAGCCCAAAACCCTTCAAAAAAGAGTCCTAGAAGTGGATTGGGATTTTCGTTGAGTCATTTCCAAACCCCGAAACCGCTTTTGAGCCCACAATCCCTACTGGGAGGGTCAGCGCAACCTTTTAAGTCGGTTATTAATAATTCGGCTGCCGGGGTGATAAGGGTTATACCTAGGAGTGTGCTTACAAGCTATGAGCTATACATATATACAAGTATGAATATACACAGATAACCATATATGAGGCAGGAACCTTTATGTATAATGTGATCTCTTTTTGCCTTTCTGACTAGCCCTTAAGTAGGAGGGCCTAAACATTGCTTGACTGCTTATATGATACATATAACACAAGAAAATGAAACACGATATTCATCATGTTCTCAGGCACGAGATCGCAGCAGCGACTGACGGATACCGCCGAAAGCTGGTGTGCAAACAAAAGCTGAACTTGTGCTGTGCACGACCGACTATACGACTTGCAGCGAAACATGGTTAACATAAGCAAACCAGCACGTATTTTTGGCTTTTGGAATAGGAGTCCTCTCTCATTCCTGTTGGATGCCTCGTATTTCTATCAGATTCTTCATAGGAGGCCATCACTCCTACTAGATTCTCAATAGGAGTCCTTGCATTACTATTTGATTCTCCATAGGCGTCCTTTCATTCCCATCAAATTCTTAAGCGAAGTCCTCTCATTCCTATTTGAGTTGTCATCCTCTGAAGCTCATGAAAATCTTCATAGACGTACTCTCCTTCTCATTAGATTCTGCATAATAATCCTCATGCTCAGTATATTCGTAATAGGAATCCTCTCAATCCCGTTCGATTCTTTGCAGCTTTTCAATTTTGAAAATCTCGGCCTTTACGAGATTTTCCCAATTCTAAAATTTTGAAGTTTCGGAGCCCGGGCCCCCAGGATTTCCAGAAAAAAAGAATTTTATGAAGTTTTTGTAACATTTTTGCATTTAGGAGTTTGAGTTTAAGAATTTCGTACTGGGCCGAAAACTCTAAAATTTCGAAAATTTCAGATTTCAAAATGTGAGCATTTCCGGCCTAGTACGAAATTCTTAAAACTCTGAAGTTTTGAAATTTCAGAATTTGAAATTTTAGAATTTTCGGCCTATTACGAAATTTGTACAAATTCTAAAACGTCTAGAGTCTAAATTCTAAAATGGTCCGGCCTTTTCCAAAATGTCCAATGTATTCGAAGGAATCCTGGAGGGCCCTGGGCTCCGAAATTCCAAAATTCTAGAATTCTTAAAATTCTGTAGTATGCCGGAAGTTTGGAATTTTTTGAATTTTTGCAATTTGAAAAAACTGAAACTTTCAAAAAGAAATCCAAAATTTTGCGATAGCGAAATCGTCCAGCTTGTGCTAGCGTCAAAGCCAATCACATTATAAAGAAAGGTTGCTCGCACACCGCTTGTACATACATCTCTCTCTCTCTCGCTCTCCCCTTCTCTCTCTCTCTCTTAAAAAGACTTGCCAAATCGCTCCGACCCTCCAAGAACAGCAGGCCTCGCCGACAAGGCGATCGTAATTCTTGGCGAACCGCGCATCGATCCTTGCCTGCATGAGCTTCTGCAGCGAGCCTGGGATGACGTTTAGGGGCTATACGGAGCTCTTGAAGAGTTATGTAGAGTGTGATCAAGGCCCAGGTAGCACGAGCAGCATTCGATTCAAGCTAAAGTGCAAAATAAATGTAGGACTCAGGCCACATGGCGCGCTGCACTCACATGCTAAGGGCTCTGTGGGGCAAGAAGCTCTGGAGCTGATGATGTTGCTGTCGTGCTTTTGGGGGTTGGGTGATAAGGGGTTGAAGCTTCAAAACCTTAGGATGCAGGGCTGGGGTTTAGGCTTCAGGCTTCAGGGTTTAGGCTTTGGGCTTTAGGGTTTAGAGCTTAGGGCTAACCACAGTGGACACTCAAAGTCCTGCATGACCTTCAACTCCTTATACCTTCGAAATTATGATACAATAGTATCCTCAGGTCAGGCAATATCAACCATGCCGTCATTACAAAAGATCAGAGCAAAGCAAGCCAGAATGCAGACTCAAATATACTCTAACCCTTATTATGAAACTATTTTAGGAAACCCTAAACCTTGCACCCTCTATATCCCTGTATCCAAAATGTCGGAAACCCCCAATAGACTTGTGGATGCAAGCTGCTAAAAGCCAATCTGTGAGGCCCGGCTTTCAAAGAAGTATCTTGGGCGGCATCTTCCTGCCAGGGTTGAGGGCTTTGGGTCTGGGGCGGTTCTACAGGGGCACATAGGGGTTACCTCATACAGGAATAGTGGACAAGAAAGTGGAAGCTATTTTTGGGGGTTCAGGGTATAGGCTCTACATTGGGATTTGGTGGTTTCCCAGGTACCTCACAAGGAGTTATGTTGTGTATTTAGGAGTTATGTAGGGCGTAGCGAATTGCCCCAATGACGGAGAATCAAATGGAAAATGATGTGGAAACTGGATCATACAGGGCTTTATAAGGATTTCGGCTTCCTAAAATTGGGGGGGGTACCTTTGGGGGTATCCATCATAAGGATTATCATGTTTCAGACTCTATATATTGGGGTCGGGCTTTTTGGGAAACTACCACATATGGTAGGGTTTTACCTGGTGCGAAATTGGACACCAAATATATTAATATATATACATATAACATCAATATTCCCAAGGAACCCTGCATGCATTCACCAAAAGCCGTCATGAAAACACCACTTCACAAGGCCTGGGGTTTGGCCTTTGAAGAAATTCAGGGGCTTTTAGGGGATAACCTTAAAGAACCTAGATGACCCTACGCGCCCAATATAATCCTAGATACCCTGATATACCCCCTTAGATACCTCCAGGTAATTCAGTACGCCCCTGCACCAACCCAACCCTTGTGCGGTAGGAATAGGTTTCTGAACCTTATGGCTACCCTCGGACCCTGTTGAAGTACTCAAGCCACAATTCCACACCTGCCAAGTATACAATCGCCCTATCACACTCTGTCTAGATATGTATATATATATACATACACGAGCTACACATGTTCTTATTTGGTATTGTGTAACATTAGTCAGATTCTATATCATGATGCCCATGGAGCTTGCGAGCTACGGTGGGAATGGGAAATGCTGCACCACCCAAAAGCCCTGGCCTCTAGAAATTGCCCGGCATTGGGGTGGTTATCCTAACTGGTGCTAGATTCCCGGTAGCAGATTAGGAAACAGCATTGTTAACCTAAAGCCGACATTACAAGAGATTGAAGCTGGGGATTCCCCTGCCTGACCCCAAACCCTATGAATCACTGTATAATGCCAGTAGCCCTGTCATCCTCCATTGTCTTCTCCATTTCATTCTCCATTATTCTCATAGTTGAGCTTGCCCTACTAGACCTGACACAAGTAGCATATTCCTCTTTATATTCGTAAAGAAAGCATAACAGCATGACATTACTGAACATTGGGGGTTAGAGTATCACCATGGGAAGTACTGCACAACCTCTACATAATCCAGTTTCAACGTCAATGTCCGTTCCATTTTCCCTATAGTTCTCCCTTACGTCTGCGGCCCCCTAAACCCTACAACCTAAACCCTTAATCCTAGACCCTGAACCCTAAACCCTGAACCCTAAACCCTACAACCCTAAACCCTACAACCCCCCCTAAAACAGACTACTCAAAAGAAGGCTCAGCACAGGAGGCCTCCCACGCCTCTGAGCAGAAGGGCTCCACGGCTTCCCACAGGGCCTGGTCCTGGCCGGGGGAGCGGACATGCAGGGGTTTATAGGGGGTTTTCTAGGGGGTTTATAGAGGGTTTATAGGGGGGTTTATAGGGGGTTTATAGGGGGTGTATGGGGGATGCTATGGGGTTTAAGGTTTAGGAGATCTAGGATATTTAGGGTTTAGGATATTTAGGGTTTATGGGGATATTATAGGGTTTAGGTTTAGGATATCTAGGGTTTAGGGTTTAAGG